GTCAGTGAGCTGCAGACTCAGGCAGGGCTGAGGCTGAAGTGGCAGAGACCCGACCTGGGGAGGAGGCAGTGCCCAGGAAAGAGTGTCTGGTCTCTGCTGAAAAACTCATAGCTGAGTCTGATCTGGCAAAACCCATTGAGGGCGGTGGAGTTGGTGGTGCTCGTGGGAACTTCTCCTTACGTATTTTAAACTCAGAAAGTCATAGAAAGGTTTTTCATTTTCCCTTCTCCTGCATTCATATTCCTCTAAGACTAGTGTAGGAACGAGGAAGTGGGGGTTATCACATACGAGGAAGAAAACAAAAAACACTGAATACAAAGACAGAGAACAGAAAGTGGAGAAGTGGGAAGATCACAGCCGTGGGAAAAAGTGGGAAGATCACTGTAGCAAAGTGACTTTACGAGAGCTCTCTGAAACTTTCTGAGGTTAAAACCCTGGAAAGCTAAATTCTGGAACAAGATGTAATTAAAGGTTGATCTTATATCAATTGTTACCAATTTATCATGTATACAAATCAAATATGATTGCTATTTATTCAGCCTTTTCAAGGGTACTGTGACGAAAGTGAAAAATTGGCTTGCTCAAGATGTTGGCCACTCAAATTCTGCTCTTGCCCCAGGCCTTACATTTCTTCAACTGTGATTTCTCCTACTAACAGGGAGTTGAGACAATTAATCTTCCTCTCAGGCACCCGGATTAGCTCTAGGTCTGGGGGGTGATTCTGACATTTTTCAGAGTTCATGGCCCTTCTGTCCAACAAAGGCATCAATCTTGATGGTCACTATCAAATTCTGATGCTCCCAAGTCCAAACTTCTCCATTCCTTATGTCCGGGCGCTCAGGATTATGTAGATTTTTAATCATTAAATTAGTGAACGATTTTACTGTTTTATGTATTTTAAGCATTTAGTTAATTAATTAATTTTAATTTGCTAACCACATCAAATAGCTTATATCTTAACTTGCTTCGGAAATAAAAATGTCAAAAATGTATTTATCCTAATGTGAACTCCCCTTTGAAACACTTCTCCTTTATCTTTCCTCTCTGTGACTCCTTCATTTACATCTTTTAAATATCTAAAAATATTCCATGTTGATTTATAATATTAGGGGCGTCCTGGAGAACACTGCTTAAAACTGTGAAATACTAAAATTTGTAAAACTGCTATGTTGGGTAAGTGATCAGTTACTTCTGTTAGAAATTGTTAGTGATCATAAAAGAAATTACTACATACAATTTTATATAGTGTTTGTGTGTATATGATTATGTATATAGCTATGTCTACATATCTATCATTCGGTCCCTAATCTATAAGTATATCAAACATTCATTCCAGATCCTTCATATATAAGTACATACATTTTTATCAGTGTACACGACATCACAGTCAATATTTTTAAGCCCAGTAGCTCTTACACATCTTAAGATGTTTCATTACTAAGATAGGAATATTTCTAATTAGATAAATTTCTGGTAATACATCTACACTGTCCCGGCAGCCATGTAAAAAATTAAACACAGTAGGTGGCCTGAAATAAAATCAACATTTAAAGTTTATCATATACACTAAGCATCAGACGTGTCTTGAAAAAATAATTAAAAGAATAAAATCAAGTCACATGGCACTTACTGGTGTAGGTGAGCTGAAAGCCTTGGTCAGTGTCAGATCCGTTGGTGTTGAACTCCAGCCACAGGTGGTTGGACGTGCTGTTCAGAGTCAGCCCCATGAGCTCGTTTTTAGTGAAGGTTCCCAGCAGACGGGAGGAACTATCTTTCCCATCGTACACCTGGTGGAAAAATTCACAGCATGAGCTCTCTGCTCTCAAATTGTATTCTTCTGTTAGCAGTTTCAACAAGAAATTCATGCCTTCCAAAATGTGGTTTTATATATTACCCCCAAAGTTAAACATTTAGAGAAAGATAAATGGATGACTTAGTGCTAAAAAATGATTTTTCCTAAGGTTTTATCTTTACCACTAATACCGACCAACTGTTCCATTTCTGTTCATATCATTTTACCCTCATCACTGGGACAGTTCTTTCGGTGTTCATTTAAAATCAAATAAATATATTTTTTGCATTTCCAGGTTCTATTATCTACGTTTTTACGGTCTTCTTGGTAGTTCAGTTATAGAGGTGGGAAGGATTTATCGTGCGTTAGTCCCGAATATCCTCTCTGAACGATCCATGGGGTAGCAGAACATCCCCTTCCCCTCTGTTCCCGTCTGTCTGAAGGCTCCAAGGACAGCAGCCCGTGCTGAGAGCCTGTCACATTTCAGTCTGTACACCTGGGGTGACTTTTGTCTTGAATTTGCTGTAGTAATAAAGAGAATCCCATCATGCAGTGATAATAAGAAGTGTCGTCTTTCTCTAAAACACTCTGTCTCTGACATTATGTTCCAAGTAGTTATAAAACTTGAGTGGTTTTAATAAGTACATGGAAGGCAGAGTGGATGGAGGTGAGGGGAGCAGAGTTTCAGTGATGAGTTCCCAGCTTTCAGGGAGACAGGTCCCGGGGTGGGGGCAGGTGGGAGCCTCCTATCCTGGCAGGGTCAAACCGTTGTGGGATACCCAGCTGTGTACTTCCCACGCGGCCCTGCAGTTCCCCTGATGGGAAGCACATGGACGCCAGGGTAGAATCCAGAGCTGAGGGTCCCTGCAACCCAGTGCCAGTAGATTAGTGCTGGGAACAGTTAAACTGCTGTTTCTCTCACTAGCAGGGAACCACCTTCTGAATAAGGTTTTTATGAAGTTTGAATACAAATGAATTTCACTGTGATGACAAACATCCAGTTTTTCTTGATTCAAGAAAGTACCTTAACTAAAAAAAAAGAAATCAGTTCTCAGTCACCTCTTCCAATATGTGTTCATTCCTCCTGTTTTTTATCTCTTCATTCAGATCCAGTTTTGCTTTTCTCTTATTATCTCTCTTCCCATCAATACGGAAAGCACATATGTTACTCAAGAGACTCACGCACACATACCCATAGCCATAAAGGAGAAATTGTGTCTTGAGAAGTTAATTTTGTAGGTATTTAATTTAAATTAGACAAGCACATGCTCATGGAATGGAATCAAAGCCCTGGACTTTCCTCACTAAAAGGGTGATGTCACCGGTTATTGTTAGAAATCCTTGTCTGGTTTACTATGAGGATTCATCAGACCTAGCAAAGGGTATAACATGGGGAGAGTAAATAATTTTAATCTGGAGGAATCTGCTTCAAAGGGAAAATGTTCAGGTGTCTGCAGGATTGCTAGAAATTTATGTTGTGATTCCTAGAAATTTATGGAGATCAAGGGCACAGGAAACTATTGCCCGTGATGTTCAGCCCCTGCTCAGTCCTGGAACCCTGACAACCAGGCAGCTACACTGGACCGTGGCTTCCTCAGGGCGACTTGACCCCAGGGCTTCAGCAGATCAGAGCGACTGTATCTTGCTCACGGGGCCTCAGACTTAGAGTTGCTAAAAATTAACAGTCAAATGCTGATTCTGGGATTGTCCAGAACAGTAATCCTGCTTTTTATCTTATTATCTTTTTTATTAAATCATAGCTGTGTACGTTGATGCAATCATGGGGTACAATGTACTGGTTTTATGTGCAACTTGAAACATTTTCATCCAACTGGTTAACATAGCCTTCATGGCATTTTCCTAGTTATTATGTTAAGACATTTATATTCTACACCCAGTAAATTTCACATGTACCCTTGTAAGATGCACCATAGGTGTGGTTCTGCCTTTTAAATCCTCACCTCCAACAATCAGAGCTGCACCCACAGCAGGTATCTCAGTATGAGAAGTTGCAAACACAAAGCATTATTGTCACCTCACTAAAGTTAAAATGTTGAATTCAGGTTCTGCTTCGATCATCAGTGAAGAGCCAGGCAGAGCTAAAGTCAGAAGACTTGATTTTTCATTCCAGGCTGTGTTACCTCCAAACATCTCCGAACTATATTTCCTTATCTATAAGAGGCTAGACTCAAAGAGTTTTCCAGTTATTAGGAAAAGCCTTCTGGAGTCATCCTTAAATTCAAGGCTATAGGTATTTGTATCACAACCCCCCTTCAGAGCATGGCACTCAGTGTCATGTGTGCTGAGGAACTTAGCCCAGTTAGCAGGTGACCACAGATTATCAGACATCACAAGGACCTTAGAGAGAGAATGCTGCAGGTCTGGGGAACGCTTCCCACCTTTTATAGAAACTATACCCAGAGCTTTGTTTCTATAATAATTTGTTTCCATAACAATCGCCTGTTAAATTCTATATTCCTTTCACAACATTTTCCCTGAGACCTTTGTTTCTCTTACATAATTTTTCCACATGAAGCAAGAAAACACCACGTTTATGTGTGTGTGGGGAGGTGTATCTGTAACATTTTAGCCTCTATAATTGAATCATTGTAAGTGTGAAGGAGCAATGTAAATAGCAGTCTGCTCAAAAATTAAGACAATTTCACCTGAAACATTTTTAACGGACACATTTATTAGCACATTCCACAAAATGTATGCTTTCAAAACTTTTAGCCCTTCTATGTGATGGACAGTTTCTCTGCAATTAATGTGTTAACCACGATTATTTTTTACTTTTGCTATAATCAACAAGCTTAAAATGCACACAATCACCAATGAACGTGGTTCCCTTCCTTCCATTCCGATATTTACCACCCGTATTTTATGCAATATCTCTAATCACTCACCTGCACCAGAGTATAGTTAAGAGTTATTTAAAATTTATCTTTTAAAGGTTCACTGACTTCTAAATTGAAGGTTATCAAATAATTCAGAAAATGCTTACTTACGACATAACTGATTTTCTTTTTAGATTGATAAGAATATGTGAGTTTCCTGCATGAAAAACGCTTCTTAATTACAGTCCTTCATACTGTTAGCTTGAGCTTTCAAAAGACTATCAAAATGAAAGAAAAACTGGAATAAAATCACGCTACCAAATCATGACCTTGAAACACAGTCAACCGTGGACTTGTGAGGAGGTGACCCATAAGCCTCTCCCGCCCTGTGCCTGTAACTTCTAATGAGGTCAGGGAGCCCAGTAGGGGCGGGTCCCAGTCTTTTAGGGAAAGGAAAATTTTTCCCTTTCATTAGCTATTTGCACATTCTCCTAATGCTCACAGCTTTAGGTGAGTTGACTCTGCTGAATCTGAACTGCATCATTGTGTGTGTCTATGTAGATATAAATATAACTGAAAAACCCAGAGGGAGTAAGAAGTGCCAGGTGTCCCTCTCATGCCAAGTGTCAGCTGTGGGACCCGTCAAATGGTTACCTTCTCATAGGAGCAGGAGGTGGTTTATAGCATCAACCTTTGTTGCTGAGAGCTGTTCTCTGTCAATGCCCTGAACCTAGGTTGCCCACTCCCCAGCCCCTAGACCCTGGAAGGTCCCTGAGTTTGGGGGAACTGTATCAGCAGCCTTAAAAATTAAGGGACATTTCCAGCTGGAGCTGGGATTTTATAATTTAAGGCAAGACCTGGCTGCTCCTGCAATCCCCAGAGAGCTGATATCACACCCTGGCTTCAGCTCATGAACCCTACTCTGTGTCCCAAAGACAATGGTAGGGTCTGCCTCTATCGTCACATCCCAAAGCTTTCAGCTTTAAGTGTTGTGACCACATTTAAAAATGGACAGTATTAAAACCAGGTATCCTCATAACACAGCCCACGGGCCACATGCAGCCCGCCTAGGACATTTATATGGCCCACCAGGTGTTTTTGCTGCTGCTGCCTGTCCTGCTTAGCAGCTGATTTGTCCCAGGGCCTGCAGTCTGGCCCGCCAATGGTCTGAGGGACAGTGAACTGGCCCCCTGTTTAAAAAGTTTGAGGACCCCTGATTAAGGCATTTATGTTCTATACTTGATAATCAAGAAAATGAGGTGAAAGCTATATTAGTTTGATGTAAGCACTCCAAATTGTATAAAGAAATCAATATATTGTACCCTACATATGCATAAATGTACTCATGAACTATGTGTATATGACCTAATGACAGAAAAAAAATAAAAATTGACAGTAAATCTCAAAAGAATTGGTTTGGGTGCCCTGCAAGTTTCAACAATTACTATTATGTACTAGATTTTTTTTGTTGTTGTTTGTTTGTTTTTTTGAGGCAGAGTTTCACTTTGTTGCCCTTGGTAGAGTGCCATGGCACCACACAGCTCACAGCAACCTCCAACTCCTGAGCTTAAGTGATTCTCTTGCCTCAGCCTCCCGAGTAGCTAGGACTACAGGCACCCGCCACAACACCTGCCAATTTTTTGGTTGCAATTTGGCCGGGGCTGGGTTTGAACCTGCCACCCTCGGTATACGGGGCTGGCGCCCTACTCACTGAGCCACAGGTGACGCCCTGTACTAGATTTTTTAGATTTAGCACAAATGCTAAAAACCTCCACATACATTATGGCATTTAATCCTCAAAACAGCTCCAAAAGGTGAATATCACTGCATACTGTTACACTTAAGGAAGCTAAGGATCAAAAGTGTTGAGTAACTTGCACAGGACACATGACAGATAAATGCTACATGTAGGATGCAGGCTAAGCTGTCTCAGAGTTCCCACATACTCTTTTAAGTGACACTTTGTTACACCCTCTCAGACCAATTGCGTAAGTAAATAGGCATAAATTACATAAATAAATCTAATAATACATGCGTAATTGTCATAGCTAGATGGTGTATCCCTAAAGAAGAAGAAATAGCATAGTCACGATATTAGAAAAGATTCTTTTTACCTTTAAAATATCTCCTTCAACCAGCTGAAAGCTGCGTGCTCTGAGATGGATCCCCTGGCCGGCCTCTGTTTCTATTTTATAGATACATTCGTGGTTATTATCATAATTGGATGGAAAATCTGGAGACAGTAATGTGCCTTCATTTCCTTTGACACTTGCTCCACATTCAGCTAAAATAAATAGGACATTAAAGAAAGAGTGTTCAAACGTGGAATAGCTGGTTTTAATAGATTTAAAACTTCATCATTATGACCGCCCTCTCTTCTCTCAATGTATGTCTGTTCATAAGTTTTTTTAAAAACAGGTTAGCGACTCCTTATTGTATTACCAACTAGAGAGAGAAGACATCCCATTTATCTCATTTTCAATATTTTCTTATTTCTCTTAATACAATGACGTCTTACTACATGGAAGCAGCATGCTGTCATCCAGAGAGTTCTAGAATCAGACTTTCCCCGAGCACCGGGGGATCTGGCTGTCTCGCTGGCTCGTGGCTTCACCTAGCCGTGCCTCTTTTCTGCTCATGAGATATCCTGACAGTCCCCATGTGCCTATTCTACTGTTGTGTTGCTGCAAATTTCCCCACATTCCTATTTTGTAGATCAGATTAATCTAATGACAGACAAATCTGCTAAGTTACCTTCTAGCACATTTGAGCCCTGAGCCCATCTGTTCACTCTCCATCTTGGGATGGAAGAGCATTTAATAGCAGTAAATCCACTGTGCTCTTTTTTTTTCTGATAAAAGACAATGGTGATTGACTTCTACTTTCACGTTTGTATGAGACAAAATACCTTTCATTAAGTTAAGAGTGAAATAAATGGAACTCTCCACCTCTTGTCAACCCAGAGGATGTCACTGAACTTTTCAGCACCTGCTTCACTATGAAAGTGAGCAGTTTAGGTCAACAACTCTTTCAGCTCTAAAATTCTATGAGTCTGAAATGATCACAAAATAATAAAGTTGTGTGCTTTCTCTTGCACTTTCTGTGTGTGTGTGTGTGTGTGTGTGTGTATGTAATATGTATTTGTGTGTGTGTATGGGGGGAGAGAGACAGAGACAGAGATAGAGAGAGAGAGAGAAGAGTCCTCTGTGGGGTGCTGCATTAACTACTTTAGTAGACATACTATGCGCTAAGCACAACAACTTTAAAAAATTTAACAAAATGCATATTGGTTTGAAGAATAATGATCACATTAGAAACTGAACATCAATAAAATATTATTTATGTGATGAGAGAGGGAGAGAAGAGATTTGCCGTGTTTGATTTTAGAGTGGGTTACTTAAGGTATGGTACAAGTTTTGCAGATAACTTCATCGGCAAGTGCCCATTGCCCCTGTCTGAAGGAAATTGCTAAAAGTCATGGAGGAGAGCACCTGGTGACCTGGCTTTGGATGAGGCAGGAGAGGAAGTCTTGAGAGAGAAGCACAGGCAATTGGTGACCTTACCAAAAGACTCTGGATTTTATAATAATTTAACATTTTTGGTATATATAAATAATTATATATTTACGTAATTATAGTAATGCCTACTTTAAAAAAAAAAAGTAAAACCTTTTTCAGGATAGAAAGGCATGTAGTATGTTTCTCATGGTCAGTCCTTGAGCGTTTAACCGTGGGCCAGGGCTGGGTGGTATGTGAGCAGCACTCTGGCTTTCCATGGACACAATTACACAGTCTCACTTGAAGAAAAATGGCTCATAAGATAAACACTGGTATGATTGTAAGTAAATCATTTCTAGGCGGAGGAAAATGTTCCGACAAATCTTTCTTATGGTTTCACTAACTGGAGTCATTGTGCTTGGTTCCCCCACCTTTGAAGATATTCAGTTCATTACATGGTGTGTGCAGCTGATGCTGCCTGGACACACAGCCCATCATGGGCCACATGTCCTCATGCTTAGTGCTGGGCAGCCGTGATGGGGATAATGACAGTGCTGGACTCTGGTCACCACCTGGGCATCAGGAGATGACCCTGGTCTCCTTCCGTGTCTGAAAGAGCCCTGAGGATACAAAGAGGCTTAGAGGTACTCAGGGGTAATTCAGAGAACAGGGTGGCGAGTCCACACATCTGGAGCCCAAAAGGGTGGGACGGTTGAAAGGTAGATTTAACTTGTCCTGATGAGGCTGATGTGTAAAGTGTAACGATGCTGTCAGGTGTCACACATTTTTCTGTTTTCTACATTCATTAACTTATTACTATTTGCAGTAACCCTACGTGACAGGTCAATAAGCCCCTTTGCAGATGGGGAGATTGAGGCACAGAACAGTGGACAAGCCGATGGGATTTCCCAAGATTGCACCACTGGGAAAGAACCCTCTGAATGTTTTAAGGCAACATTTTATGAATTGCTCTTTGATAAGCCATCAGTATTCTTTTTTGAGACATGACTTATAACTTAATTTTGTTTTCAAATTAAGAAATAATTTAATAATATCCAACAAAAATGGATAACAATGCAGCATTCAAATGAAAGATTAGAAGTAAGTCTAAGGGTCTGGGAGGTTCACTAATCCCTGGGACCATATCCCAGAGGAATTAATTACAGAAAATAAGATGCTGACACCACAAAGAGAGCAGGTGCTCAGAAAATTACAAATCTTAAGTGACCAAAATGTCAAAATTTCTTTGAACTTGATCTAATGTACCCATCCTAAATCACCCTTAGCAGAGCAATTAAAAGTTTCACTTCTAAAGTTCTTTCAATAATCAATTTAATATTAGGAGGAATGAATATAATTTTTCTTAATATGAATCATTTGCTCTTTTATAAAAAGGCTAGTGAAATTGTAATTAAAATTGGATTGTCATTTAGAGGTTTGCAATGGAACAAAACTAATTAAAATTAAATTAACGTAATGAAAAGGAGTCAATTGACTTTTCAGTTAATTTTTCTGTACAAAGGTATCTGCTGGTCAAGATAATGGTCTGAGTTTGCTTGGCTGCTAAGACAAAACACCGCAGACTAAAGGCTGAGTCAACAGACATTTATTTCCTGCAGATGTGGAGGCTGGGGAGTCCAACCTCTGTATCACTAACCTATGATCTGTATGAATCTGTGAAGACTCAATATCAAGAAAGGTCGGTTTATTTGGTATATGATTAATATATTATTTGATTATAGAACAGTAGATGAGAATATATAACCTCTCAATCTGCCTACTCCATATACTTAAACTGGATTCCATTCTACTGCTGGAGAGACGGGTCCACCTAAATAATATCCAGGTTCTGCAATGCCTCATATTTCACAGTGGTTTTTCTTAATATAATCAATGTACTGCCTTTGATTGTATGACTGCGTTTATGAAAATTTTGTGGACAGTGTTTGGAGTCTTTGAGGTCATTGTAAAATTGGGAAAACCATTAATATGCATTAATTTACAGATGTCTATGCTTTGGAAGCATTATTTGAAAACCAAGGAAATAACAGAAAACAGCTTGACTGAGAAGTAGAGACAGATGCATCTACCTTCTTTCTACTTTAATCTAAGCTTAGTGTGGCTTACAAAATAAATAAGAAAATGTTTCCCAGGGGCGGCGCCTGAGGCGTAAAGAAGTAGGGCGCCGGGCCCATATACCAGAGGCGGCAGGTTCAAACCTGGCCCAGGTCAAAAACAAACAAGCAAACAAACAAAAAATGTTTCCCATAGTAGAAGCCCATATTATTTAAAATGTGAAATCCTGTATTTATTCACAAAGAATATCTAATAATTACATGGAATGGTGCTATTTTAAACAATTTGTTATGCTATGAACCCTTATTTTTTAAATTTAATGGTATTATTGGATTAGCCTTTAAAAAATAACAAATTAAAATTTTAGATTTTAATATTGTTTCAAAATTTTAAACCAAAATTTAAAGAAATGTACATGAACTATAGATTGGTAGGCATACTAAAATGATATTTACATCAAATTGGTCAAAAGATTTAAAGCAAAATTTAGTTTATGTTAACTAAATTTAAACTAAAAAAATACAGGAAAAGTATTTTATTTTACTATTCTTCTCTGAAATATTGTAACCCACTAAAGAATTGAGGATCATAGTATTGATTTTTAAAATTTTGCCAAATGACTTTGTACTTTGTCTAAAAAAGAGTCAACGCAGTATTCGATAAAAGGGTAAAACCACTTTCATTCATTTTTTGAAAACTATTCTCATAAGATACTTGTGAATAGTTATTCTGGTGTATATATGCAGCTCTGTCTGGGAAAATTACCAATGTGCTTTCGTGACTTAAGCCCAGCGTGAGCAACTATTTCTTTAACTTACAAGTAGAAAAAAAATCTTAAATAATAAATATATAACGAAAATATAGAGGCACCACCAGAGAGGATTTGAGCGTTTCTGCTGGGATTTCACCCGATGGCTACACACGATATTCTTTCTATTACCCTAAATAAATAGGTAGAAAAAGCCCTAAAATGAATACATTCAAACAAAAAGATGATTTTTCTTTTACATAAGCAGAAAATAGTTCTGAGCTCCAAAGTTCACCAGAAATTCTATCTGAGACCAGACACGTCTGCAGAGAGGTACGTAGATGCTCCTGATCCAGTCAACATTCTTCAGATGCCACCTGAATCTTTGGTTTGGATGGATTTGCATCTTTCAGCTGTGGGCAAAATGTTTTTATTTCTATCATTTAAAGGAAAGAATATAGATGATTGAAGATTCAAATTTTTGAGATCAAAAGAGAAGCTTTTGAAGAAAGTAATTTTTATTGATTTGATAAGCAGAACCAGTGGCTGTCACAGGGGACCACACTTCCACTAATGGACAAAGAGTAGAAGGAGGTAACATAGCAAGGGAGATCAAAAAATAAAAATAATCAGCCAGGAAGAAAGAGGGTGAGCGCTGCTAATGGGGGAGCAGCCTGCGGGTGCGCCCAGGGTTGAATAAAGAGCTCTGGTGCTGGGGACCCAGAAGGCTCGTCTGCTGGAGCAGCGGTCCGTGGAGGGACAACCATGGAAACACACCAACAGGCTGGCCAGGACCACAGAGTCAGGGTTTAATTTGACTTATGTTAAAAACAATGTGTTTCTTTAGGAAAGAAAAAAGTAAAAGAATGCTCAACAAAGATTTTCAGTATTCATGAATTGTCACCGTTACTGAAGGAAACTCCCTATCTTGTTGAACTTAAGATACCAGGTGCTCTTCTTCCAGTCATACCATCTAACTGTCAGCATGAAGGTGCCGGGCTGTGAACATAAGTGCACAGAGACTGGCAAGTCCATGAACTTAACTGTCAGACCTTGTACGACACGAGATTTGCGTGAATGGTATGGAAAGCTACTGACAGGGTCTGTTAAAGCCCCACAAACTGACGAGTTTTCGGTTTGCATGGAACTTTCCGGCAGCAGCGGCCCCTGGCATCTGCCCCAGGCAGGGGGGACCCTCAGGGTATGTTGAGAGGCTGCTGGTGTCTAGGCAGGAGGAAGAAGGGAGGAGGGTGACTTGGGAGCCCCAGCATGCAGCATCCCTCAGAAGGAGGAACTGACCAGGTGTGGAGAATGGAGGATGAGAGGAAGACAGCATCCAGGTGGGCTCCTGGATTTTGGCATAATTATCCTGTCTATTTACAGGTATTCTGCAATCTGATGGACATCAGGAAAGTCAAGGAAACTGCGGGTGACATATAAAAGCCTGGAGAGAAAAGAGCCAACTCAAGGTCCCTGGGGCTGCTCCAGGATTTGTGGTTTAGGGCCAGCCTGCAGGCCGTCTGGCCGCTGTCACTGGCTCTGTTTCCTGGCAGAGGGCTCAGGTTCTGGGTGTTAATATTCCTATCTGCAGAATGGAGCTGACCATGGAAATGCTTCCTTCCCAGAGATGTCAGGATATACAAGATATTAATGTATATGAGGAGCCCAGAGCCTGGTCTATAGTTACAATAAATATTAACTGGTATTTCTAGATTCCTATTATTTCCTATTTTAGACAGCAGAGTGACAACATGAGTGTGAAGACAGTGACATTAGAGAAAACAGAGAGGCCTCTAATGGAGCGCCACACCCAACAGACCATTGATGCTCCACATCAAGGATGAGGCTTTGACTGCATTGACCGGGGAGCTTTCTCCGGATCCCACACTACCTCAGTCAGGAGCCTCCACCCTGGGGAAGAGATTCTAGGCAACTCAGAAACTCTTAACATCAGCTATCAAAGAGTGTATCTTTTCATTTCCCTGGAGATGGTATGCCAAATTTGCAACCAATTCTCAGAAATGGGAACCACTTTTTCAAGAGAAAATAAAATTGCAGAAATATATAGACACGTGCTTTGGAAAGAGATAAAGATGATTTGATTCATGTTTACCTGTTTAATTTTTTTATATGAAAGTCTTATTTGACTCTCTCTGGCTTATCAAAATCCCGAAAGACAGTATTGTCTGGAATCACAGACTATTGCTAAGTAATGCTGAGAAATGAAAGATCCTGTGGCATGGGAAACTCCAGGCAAAGTGAGCGTGTCAGGGCTCTCTGGTCCAGACGTGTGTCCTCAGACCTGTCTACCTGCCTCCAGCTTGTCCACTGCTGCAGATGGCTTTATGGACTCCCCACGGATTCACAGTGCTCAATATTGAGGGGCACCTCGGTTACCCTTTAATCTCCCTCTTCCCTCTACAATGACATTAGGCAGTTTCTGTGACTTTAAAGAGCAGTTTGTAGCCACCATATATGTTGAGCAATGTGGCTGAGTGGCAGGAAGGGGACCACTTCCCTGGGGCTGAGGACCAGTGGTTTATGAGAGGCTGAAAGGCCGCAGAGTGGCAGTGCCACACCCCGCTCACCCCACTGAGCCAGCATGCTCACCAGTACCTTATCTCAAAATACCAAAACGAAATTTCCTGTTCCTTGTTAGAATCACCTCTTGAATCCCTCAACAGCACACTGAGAAAAGCTAATTTAGCACTGAAATGCCAGTCATCCCACATTTCAGGAGTATGCAACAGACAACCCATCAAGAGTTCTCCTGACAAGAAAAACAAAGGTGCTATTTCAAATCGTCACCGCCGTTATACCAGGGAAAAGCACTGCTTTTAATCATCGTGACTGCCGGAGGTTGTGTCATTGCCGCTCGGATGCAGCTCTTACTGTCTTTTTGTTTCATTGCATGAGTATTTGTATGTACCATGTACATTTTGGCTTCTAGCTTTTGTCTTTTTGTTTAATATATGTATATGTGACACACACACTTAAAAATGTCTACTTCCCTTTCATAACTATGCTTGACACTTGCTGTAGTTTCAGTCTTCTACCACACAGTCTCAGAGCTGAAAGGTCTCATGGGCATCTCCACACTCCATGTCCTGCTGGCTGGGTGGTGTGTCCACTCCCCTGACCCTCACACTTCCTTCCTTGTCAAACCCTCGGCCTGTCTCCGTCCTGGGCCCTGCCCTGTCCCATGGATGAATGAAATGAAAGCGTGTGACCACCTACCCACACACCTTGGCAGAGGTGCGCTCCACACACGACGGCCTCCGCCCAGGCACGTAAGCTTGGTGGCACCTTCTAGGCGATATCCCGGGAAGCAGGAGAAGGTCAGAGCATCTCCAACGCCAAAGTGGAAGCCGATTCTCCGGCTGAAGGCAGGGACTCCAGGATCATCACACGACTCCAGGTCATACTCTAAGACGGAAGGACAGAAAATGTGGAGGGATTTAGTAAAATATGTTATTAAAATTACACATCTACATATATATATATATATACACAGTGCCAGAAAATGCATGTACATTTTTAAAAAGGAAACACTCTATTAAAATTATAATACTTAACATACACCAATAGCAAAGGACGAATCCAAGTCACATTTGACTTCTGCAATTACAAGAGGTGCTCAGAGGGGCTGCCCTCGGGATTCAGAGGCTCTGACCACGGCAGACCACTGCTTGAGTGACAATGACCAAGTGCCCACCTGTGTCTCTGCATGTGTTTCAGTCTCCACCCAAGGTGCCCCCAGCGCAGCCAGCTGTCCACAATGCACGGCGCCCTGTGAGGTCTCCCATAGCAGAAGTCAGTGGATGTGAAGTTGGGAGGACTTGGGGAAACTCAACTGAACCTCTTCATCATACGTGGTCCCACCAATTCTCCCTGCTGGAAGCTGTCTCACCGTTTTCTTTGACAGTGGTATTCATTTGATTAACACCATCTTTTGAGTGAACATTACATTATATACTCAGTACTAGAGCAATTCCATACAACTTCGAGTAGTAATGCATAGACGATAGCCCCTAAGCTGTGTAGACCTTTATTCTGGTGCCCTGGAGTTTACACACATACACATAAAAGTCTATATTTATATTTGTCTTCCTAGATGCAGTCGGACTGTGGTGTGCAGTGTTTGCCTTGGTACTATTTGCTTTCTTCTGACACAGGACAAGGGTTTGGGTGTTTTTTTAAAAACAGGCACATAAGAATTGTACTTCCCAGAGGCTGGGAACAGTGTGTGTGGGTGATGAAGAGAGGTTGGTTAATGGGTACAAATGCATAGTTAGATGGAAGGAGTAAGTCCCACTGTCCACGGCAGAGGGAGATGAGTACAGTTAGCAACATGCATCGTGTATTTCAAAAAGGAGAAGAGACTGAAAATGTTTCCCTCTGAAAGAAATGATGAGTGTTTGAGCTGATAAATATCCCAGATGCCCTGATTGGATAATAATGCATCGTATGCCTGTATCAGAAGACCTCATGCACCCTGTTAATATGTAAAAATAGTAGGTACCAGGAAAAAACCAGACATGTAACGTATTAAAATGGGATCCATTTCAAAACTCAGTTTCATAATACAGAAATATTTCACTGATACTTCTGGTCGCTATAATCAGTTACAAGCCCTTCCCAAATGTGCCTTCTGACTCCTCAACATAGACAGGAGAAAAAAGCAACGTCCAAAGGCTGTGCTGGTGGAAAGCGCACCCCAGCTGACTTCACCTCAAAAATATTCCTCCGGGGGAACAATGGAGTTTTTCTTTGCCAATGTGCAATCTATAAATCATACTTTATTGAAATTTGGTAGAAAATATTTTTTATTCTACTAGAAATTTCTATTAACTAGTCAAGAAGAAGGTGCTAACTACAGGGGAAAAAAGAAGGAAAAGGTAAAGGACTAAGGGCTGGTAGATTGCTACGTCCGGGAGCACGGTCCGAGTGCAGCACCGACGACCCCGGGTCCGAGTGCAGCACCGACGACCCCGGGTCCGAGTGCAGCACCGACGACCCCGGGTCCGAGTGCAGCACCGAAGACCCTGGGTCAGAGTGCAGCACCCATGACCCCTCTCTGCACCCGCCTTACTCTCTAGACCTGACGCTTTCCTGCCGCAGAGTGTGGGTGTGCTTGCCCTCTGGCCGTCACTGGTCGCTGGGCCCAGTTATTACCTGGTTACTAAGTCCGTGTTTTGTCAGTGGGACCCAGGAGAGTGTGGGTGACTGCCTACGAGTTTAGCTCCCTCCATCTTGCTGTGCCACCAGTCTGCAGTGCTGCATTTAGTCAAATATTATTGAGAGGTAGTCTCTGTGCCCAGGAAAATATTACCAGGGTTGGAGTGGGGGGAAGCCTTCAGAGGGGATATTGAAAGATCAATCAAGATGAGCCCTGCTGGCAAAGAGTTGATTGTTCTATGCGTTGGTGTTGCTGGGGGCTTCACTGGTTTCCCTCTGTGTGGATTTTATGATTCTGGATTTTTGTGCATCTCAAAGCTTTCATTCACTTCCACTTCAATTTCAGGGCTGTGGCCATAGTGACCACCTCGTGCACCCCTAACTTTTGCTGCACCTCCTTCTGCGGAGAGCTCACGCCTACTGGTCTCTGTTTGCGACCCAGCCTGGGCATGGCAGGTGCCTGCCCGGCAACTCCATGTTTATCTGCATCTTTTCCCTTGTCTTGCTTCATTTTTTTCTCCTGCCTCCCCCTCCACGATCATCCTGCTGGAATACAGGTTCCTTGGGGGCAGGTGTTTTGTCCATTTGCTACTATGTCAGTCAACATTCTCCGGGTCAATAAAATATAATTAGAGAATGAGAAAGCTCTTTCTATCCACAGAGCTGATGCTTCCACAGTGGAGGGAGGCACAGTGTTCTCAGTTGAAAATTCATGGCATCATGTAAGGAACAAATACCAAAAAATAATCTCAGAAAAATTACATAATTTGGTATAATTTTTTTCATTTTTTAGGCAGAATCTCATTTTGTCACCCTCAGTAAAGAGCTGTGGCATCTTAGCTCACCACAGTCCCCAACTCTTGGGTTTGAGTGATTCTCTTGCCTCAGCCTCCTGAGTAGCTGGGACTATAGGCACCTGCTATAATACCCAGCTACTTTTTAGAGACAGAGTCTTTCTCTGGCTCAGGCTGGTCTCGAACCTTTGAGGTCCAGCAATCCACCCACTTGGCCTCCCAGAGTGCTGGGATTATAGGTGTGAGGCCCCATGCCTGGCAATATAAAAATGTTGTTATAGGAAAATATAGATGAAAAAACAATCTGCTTAGGGGAGAGAGGGAATGAGTGCCTGTGAGAGGCTGTATCTGACCTACACGAGAGGAGATTTGCCTGGTGAAGAGGAAGGAAAGGGCCTTGGGTGGAGAGGGAGCCACGTGTGCAAGGCAGGGAGTTGTGCAAGGTCTCATGTTTTGACAGGAAGGACTGAAGAGGAAGCTTGGAGTATCCACTGTGCCTAGTGATCAGTTCCAGACCCCCGTGCAGAGCCGGGCCACACAGCTTTATCTGAACATACTGGAATATGGGGCTGTTTCTCTACAGTATTACTATTAACATTTGCAGGGATACTGACTAGGAAATGCAACCAGGAAATACTGCTATAATAAACTCTCCTAGGAAATATTGAAATATACTGATTTAACAGGGAAAAACACAGATAGAAAAAGAATGCCTCTGTGAACAAAGGACAGAAAAGGCCCCACATGGGTAGATGCTTCATTTGTACAATAAAGTTGCCACTCATTTGGATACTTAAAAAATAAACTTGTTTGTATCAGTGTGACTGGCAGCTGTTTGTAGCCCACTTTCAAGGCAAAGATGCTTCCAAATAAGATTGTTCATCTAGTACATCCAAAGAAACGTCTGCTTTAAAGTGAGCTTTGCAATCAAAGGTGTGTTCTTCTGCTTTTAAAAAGACAGTCTGGGGTGGTGCCTGTGGCTCAAAGGAGTAGGGTGCCAGCCCTATATACTGGAGGTGGTGGGTTCAAATCCAGCTCTGGCCAAAAAAATAAAAAGACAGTCTGTGCTCATGTGGAACCAAGATGAAAGTGACTTTTTTCTGCAAGCTTTTATAGTATTTTTCTATTGGTTATGAGTAAATAAACCATTCTAAATATTCACAAACTATTACCACTTTATATTTGACTCCCACAAATACTTGTAAACTCTCCTAAACAGCTTGGAAACTCCCCCTAATAAACCGTAGTTACAGTTGGGGCTTCCTTGTTCAGCTATGTGTGAAACAGGAAAGCAGCTCCAGAGTTCCCCTGAAACTTTTGATAATTGCTAGGGCTGGAATGTGTCGTCCCAATTCATGTGCTGGAAATAGGATCCCCAGCGCAAGAGAAGTGAGGAGGGGCTTTCTGGGGAGTGTGTAGGCTGGGAGGGCTCCACACTCGTGAGTGGATCACTGATACTCTGAAAGGGCTTCTCCTCTCCCGCCGTGTGAGGCCAGGGTGAGAAGGCACTCCACAGAAGCCAGCACATTGATCTTGGACTTCCCAGCTTCCAGAGCTGCAATAAATAACAGTCTATCCTTTATAAATTACCCAGTCTCAGGTACTTTGTTACAGCAGTGCAAACAAAGACAGAGGTAATCGAAAGACTTATTATCAGCCTTGCACCAAGAGCACTAGAGTAAGAAACAGATGGGCTGAAAGGAATGGAGTTTGCCCAGACAGAGCGGAAACACCACAGAACAGATCCACAGACTCCTTTCCCGGCCATTGTCATTCTTTGGAGTATTCTATTTAAATTTATTTTGGATCATGATGAAAGTAGAAACAGAGGAGTATTAACAGTCTCATAGTGATGCTAATTGATATACACCAGGGGAAAATGCACACACAGAGGGATTTAGGTATTAGTGTCAGGAAGATTTAAGTCTTTGATATACAAAGTGGGCAGTTTCATGATTACCCGTGAATGCAGCAGGTTTCCAAGAAATCAAGTAGTCTGAGCCAGTCCTGAAAGCTCCACTTGGCAGTGAAATACCAAGAAAAATCAGCAAAGTCAGGTTAAAATAAATGGCAACTGGGCAGCATTAAAGGGAATGTATAATAGATCAGAACATCTTAAAATCCCTAAGAAATGTTTTTCTTTAAGGTAATGTTTCACTGTATATAATGTTAAGGATCATGAAGCAGTTAGTGGGAAATTACTAAGTTCCGATTAGAGTTATCTATTGAACAGCTTGGGTGTAACGGCTCCAGTGCACCTATATACAGATTTATCTTCAACAAATATATTAGAAAGGTTTTTTTGAGATTTGCAATAATTTGAGAAAGCACACAGATGAACCACATAGTCTATAAGTATTGAAAAAAAATTGAAAAGCTAGGTATGTCTTGATGGCACAAAGTATATTTAGATACTAGTCTAGGCTATTGGCAGTTAAATTTTTGAGGAGTCAGAATTTAAACTCAGATTTTTCTACCTCACAAGGGTTGCTGCCAACATCCCTACATTGTTCAAAGGACAATGGTAGTGTAAGATATTGGAATAGAAAAGAAACCCTTCCGTCACAATTCTTTAGTTTTAGTTCAGGAGGGATAAATGTTCAAATACCGCAACAAATAATCCCATGAGTGACATCAAAAGTTAGTAAGGAATTTATGGGATCTTAAGTAGAAGAAATCACATGTGATTTTGGTACTCAGTGACCATTTTACGGAAATTACATTAGATTTGGGAGGAGAGAAACACTTTTTCCTGACCATCATATACACACACATATGCATATTAATGTAATTATTCACACCCATTAATAATTTATAGAAGTCAGTCCCTTTGTGTCGCTGGGGGTAGCAGAGAATGTTGATATTGAAGACACTGGAGAAGTTCTAACCATTATATGTTCATTGAAAACTGTTTATGTGACCAAATTTATCCTGCACAGGCTTGACCAGTTTTTTAATGTGTGTGTAACTTTTATCTCATCTGCAAAAAACAACAAAAAAAATTAGTACCTATGTCACACAGAGCCATATAAATAAAAAAAACTTAACCAGTATGAATGTCTGATGCAGCATAAACCCTGCGCAAATGTGCAATTAAAGATGAGACTCTGACAGTGGAGCCCGGCCTTGTCACTGTGCGTCAGTAAATCACCTAGAAGCTCCTCCCCCATCGTATGTGCCACACATGTTCAGTCACTCAGAGAAAGGGCAGTGTTATTGCCAGAGGAGGGAAACATCAAAAGGACCAACATACCTGAAAATGTGATATTGAAGCCCTCATAGGAGATGGAAAAGTCTGATATAAATCGGAGCTGAGCAGTGAAGTTTCCAAATAAACCTGCCTTAATAGTATGAGGCAAGACCGACCCAGTGAGCCTGGCAACGGGCTCGGAGAAACTTCCGTCCTCTGTGATCAGCAAATAGTCATGGGAGCTCTCCAGGTGAAAGGTGTGAAAGATCATCTGAACCCCTGAGAAATGGGGGGTGGGGTGGGGGAGAGGGAGAGACAGAGAGATAGAAAGGGGACAGAGACAGAGAGGAAAGAGAGACAGACAGAGAGACAGAGGCAGAGAGAAACAGAGAGAGAGATGGAGAGATAGAGAGGGGACAGAGACAGAGGGAAAGAGAGAAAAAGAGAAACAGAGAGAGACAAAGACAGAGAGATACAGAGAAAGACAGGGGACAGAGACAGAGAGAAAGACAGAGAGAGATAGAGAGAGACGGGGGGACAGAGACACAGAGAGAGATCAAGAGTGAAGAGAGAAGTGAGAGATGAGACAGAGGAGATGAGGAGGGGGCAGAGAGAGAGAGATCGGTAGAATTAGTAGTTGCTGAAAATAGTTTCTTCTGGGCCTAGAGACATCAAAGTCTTGAATCAAAACATTAAACTGTTATCTCATTATTTAAATCCAACTTTGAAGTTTAAGAGAGTGGCTTTAGAAATGAAGAAGGGAGGATAGATAACAAAAAGATAAACACTTATGTGTACCTGAGCACTGACATGGAGCTAGGTGTAGGTAGGTAGGGGGGTAGGTGTAGATACAGGTGCAGGTGAAAATGCGAGTGTAGGTGCAGATGTGGGTACAGGTATGGATGAGACTGGAGGTGTGGATGCAGGTGCAGGTGTAGATGCAGGTCTGGATGTAGGTGCAGGTGTGGATGAGGCTGCAGGTGTGGATGCAGGTGCAGGTGTGGATGTAGGTGCAGGTGTAGATGCAGATGCAGGTGTGGATGAGGGTGCAGGTGTGGATGCAGGTGCAGGTGTAGATGCAGATGCAGGTGTGGATGAGGGTTCAGGTGTGGATGCAGGTGCAGGTCTGGATGTAGGTGCAGGTCTGGATGTAGGTGCAGGTGTGGATGAGGTTGCAGGTGTGGATGCAGGTGCAGGTGTAGATGGAGGAGCAGGTGTGGATGAAGGTGCAGGTGTGGATGCCGGTTCATGTGTGGATGAGGTTGCAGGTGTGGATGAGGTTGCAGGTGTGGATGCAGGTGCAGGTGTAGATGCAGATGCAGGTGTGGATGCAGGTGCAGGTGTGGATGCAGATGCAGGTGTAGATGCAGGTGCAGGTGTGGATGAGGTTGCAGGTGTGGATGCAGGTGCAGGTGTGGATGCAGGTGCAAGTATAGATTCAGGTGCAGGTGTATGCAGGAGCAGATGTGGATGCAGATGCAGGTGTAGATGCAGGTGCAGGTGTGGATGAGGTTGCAGGTGTGGATGCAGGTGCAGGTGTAGATGCAGGTGCAGGTGTGGATGCAGATGTAGGTGTGGATGCAGGTGCAGGTGTGGATGCAGGTGCAGGTATAGATTGAGGTGCAGGTGTGGATGCAGGTGCAGGTGTATGCAGGAGCAGGTGTGGATGCAGATGCAGGTGTGGATGCAGGTGCAGGTGTAGATACAGTTGCAGGTGTGGATGCAGGAGCAGGTGGGAATGCGGGTGCAGGTGTAGATGCAGGTGCAGGTGTGGATGCAG